AAAAAAAAGATTGAGGAAAAACATCGTTTAACATGTATATTTCACATATACATGGGACAGAGGAATGGCTGAGAAGTGACTTTGAATGTCAGCTTACATCGATCTTCAACAAAGAGTAGCAAATTTTAGAGAAAATTCAAGAAAAGGACTCTAAGTCTTTGGAGGAGAAAGCCACTGGAGGGGGCAAGGGAGGTGAGGCAAACACATGGATAAAGGCTACTTAAGAAAACATATTAATAGATACCTCACATACCATCTCCAGACCAGTCCAGGCCTTAAGGTTTCTTTGCTCTTTGTTCTCTCCAGTAGAAGGGGAAGAACCATACCTCTTGTCTTTTCAAATTTATACTCTGCTGCTTGTTGGAAAATCCAGGGACAGCAAAAAGATCTCTTGAATTCTCTTGCTGCTGCTTGTCTTCAGTTCATAATCCTTCATATTTTGGGGTGGCACATTCTGGTCTTCACAAAGGCAAGGCAAAACACTGAAGTTTGTATTATTTTAAATAAATAGTAACTAGGAAAAAAGCCTTAAGAATCCAAATGGATGTTGTCTTTAGATTGCACTTTATTCTGGATTGTCAGCTATCCAAGACCTTATTTAAATGGACAAAAGTAAACCACCAATTAAAACACTGTGAATAGAAATACACATACTGAATAAGAAAATTGCTGACACAAACTAAGTAAACTATATTCTGTCCACATTAATGACAGTCAGAATTATGCTATTGAGTTCTCCTTAGATTATGTTTTTCTAAACACACACAATGTATACCACAAAAATTATCTGCTCTTACCAACAGAAAAACCATGAAATATTACAGACCAGAACAAGTGATCTTTTAGTTGTGAAATTCATGGATTTCAGAGCTGTTTCTTGAGTTATATTACTAGTATAATGTATTTTAAAAGGTGTTGACTCAAGAAACTTCCTACAAAATAAAAAGTAAATAATCACGGTTTGATAAAAGATGTATAAAATAACTATAAAAACTTCCTACATATATTTTACAAGCCAACACTAGACACAAACCTATATTTAAAATTTTTGCAAAACTGAGTCTGCACAATTAAGTTCATTAAACGTAGCATTGTCCTTCACTGAGAATTTTTCTTCTCAACAAATGTGCACACTAAATTCCTAAGGAAAGTTCAAGTGCCTTACTGACCAATAATAATTCTTCATACAAAAGGCTTGAGCATAAAGCTACCAGTACGACTATGTTTTTTGCAGCATTATTTACCATAGCTAAGATATGGAACCAACCCAGATGCCCCTCAGTAGATGAATGGATCAAGAAAATGTGGTATATACACACAATGGAATTCTATGCCTCCATCAGAAAGAATGACATTGCCCCATTTGTTAGGAAATGGAAAGACTTGGAAAAAACTATATTAAGTGAAGTAAGCCAGGCCCAAAGAAACATAAGTCCCATGGTTTCCCTTATTTGCAGTAACTAGTATATGTCTGAGTCAAGCAGAAAAGGTCAGATAAGTTGATGTTAGGGAAATGAGCCCTAAGATCTGTATTCAAATGTTTTTTTTCTTTCATGCGATTGTTTCTAACATATTTATAAGATTATTTCTTTGTTGCTTTGTATGTCCCTCCCCCATGGTATAACCCCTGCTTTCACTGTATTTGGTGTTGGTATAATTTGTGGAAGGGAAGGGAAAAAACAAATCGTTTAAATAGGGTTACAGGTTGACCCATTGCAACAATGAGATGTATAAGTCCTTATGTTGAAAAATGAACTTTACAACTTTGGTGGGGGGGGAGGAGAGAGGGAGGAGGATTCGGTGGGGGGGCGGAGAGAGGATGGGAAGGGATGGGAAGGGGAAACAAAGGCAGCTACAATGCTTGATAAGAAATGTACTCATTATCTTGCCCATGTAATTGTAACCCCTCTGTTCAGTATTTTCACAATTATAAAAAAAAAGGCTTGAGCAATACAGAAGCACTAAATATAAATAAGCTTCATTTTATCTTATTCACAAGGTCTGACATCTAAGTCCAGATTATCTAATACAGCTTACATATACTTAAATCATGACACTTAAAAATCCTTTAAGGAGTTGGGAAGGTGGCTCAGTGGTAGAGTGCTTGCCTTGTATGCATGAGGCCCTGGGTTCGATTCCTCAGCACTTCATAAGAAGAAAAAACCGGATGTGGTGCTGTGGCTTAAGTGATAGAGAGCTAGCCTTGAGCTGAAGAGCTGAGGGACAGTGCCCAGACCCAGAGTTCAGGCCCCATGACTGGCAAAAAAAAAAAATCTTTTAACCATGGATCAATTTACTATTAAAGTTAAAATGGGAACACATTTGAAGTTTGTAGTCTAGTTTAATACAAGTTGTCAAGGCAACCACATAACAATTTGGTAAATAATGTTGAAATATATATTGCCCCCCCCCACCCAATCCCAACTATATCCCTCATTGAATCTCCAGGATGTCTGAGCTTTATTTCTTATTCACCTTTTCCAAACATCTCTAATTCATGGACTACCATTGATTTTTATAATTTCCCTAGGAATGTGAAGCTATAGAGAACTGCTTCAGAGCTTGAATAAATTTTATGAATCTCCACAAGTGTAAAGATCACTGAAACATTTACCAAATTAAGTGAATACTATTTATTACATTTCAAGTAAGAGTTTCCTTCCAAAGTCACCAAAACTATTCTTTAATATTCAACAAAAAAAATTGTAGGAATTTGTAGGGTCTTTTTCTTTAATGTCGGGGTGGTATTGTCTTCTTTGGATGTATGGCTGTTGAAAGCTGAGTTATACAAAAGAAATCTTTGGAGAACAGAGGCTTTTCTTTACATATTTATTCCCAGAGCCTGCCCTTCATCTCATTTTGGCTCTCCAGATTGATCCAATTTTAGCGCTTCCTGGAGAGAGCTAGGCCTAATCAGCAACATCAGGAAGAGATGGGACAAAGAAAAATGAGAAAATACAGACCTTCTCATGGCTCTCAAAGCAGTGAATGCATTCTAAGTTATCAGGCAACGTAAAACCCAATTTTACTTTTAATTTTTTTTTTTAACCTGGATGGACAGGAACAAGAGCCATTCAATGAGGCCTTCATCTATTCAATAGGGTACAGGCCCCTTTTGAGACCAACACCATGGGCCAGAACCTCGCTTTGTTCCCATCCTATAGAGTTGTAGGCAGGCAGCAGTTCCCCTGCACAAGGTCTGAGATACGGTGAGTCAAAGAGATATATCTAGGCATGCGAAATCACCTAACATTACTTCCTGTGAGGATTTTTTTCCTTTGACTTATGAAAAGCTATCCAGTTAAAGCAACCACTGCCAACTCCCCAGAGATAATGCTTCAACCTCCGCCCCCCCTCCACAACCCCCCAATGAAACGTGGGCAAGTCCCCCCGGACTGCCAAAACGAAGGAATCAGTCCTTGAAAAGAGCATTCCGACTGCATATGATGCCTCCTCCCTCGAAGGCCTTAACATTTTACACACCAGCTGCCTATCAGACCCCTACTTGGTGGAAATCTGGACGCCCGTGGGATCAGGAGTCCCCACATCCACGCCCTACTTCCTCTTCTTCTTCAGGGATGGGGGCTCCTGAACCACGGGAGGGCGGGGCAGCTTGAGATACACTTTGACCGAGTCGTAGATGAACCACTGCAGGGCAGTGAGGGTCCCGATCATGATGATGCGGGCGAACAGGCCCTTCCACACGCCCACCGGGCCAAGTCTCCGGAGCACGTCCAACGCCGTGCTGCCCTTCTCCTTGTTCAGCACCGACACCACCGAGTCGGCTGGGTGGGACACCACGGCGCAGAAGATGCCCGCGATGTAGCCGGCCACGAAGGTGATGCCCAGCTGCTCGGCCTTGGTGCACTGGCTCTGCGGCTTGGGTACCACGTACTTGTAGAGGGCCTCGATGGTGCGCTCGAAGCAGGCGAACTTCATCATGGTGTAGGGGATCTGCCGCATCCACAGCGGCGACACGCCCTTGTAGAAGGCCCACAGCCCCTCCTCGCCGTACATCTTGGGCGCCGCCTCCCGCAGGGTGCTGGCAAAGCCCGGCTGCGTCTGCACGCGCACCTTCACCGCCTCCATGGGCGCCAGGGCCACGTCGGCGAAGAACTCGGCGGTGGCGGAGGCGGCCAGGTACAAGCCGGTCCTCCACCTGTAGGCCCGCTCCTCGCCCAGGAGCTGCGCGTACTGTATCTTGAAGACCTCGTAGAAGCCGAACTTGAAGAAGCCCTGCATGGAGTACCCGAAGAGGGTGGGGGCCCAGCCGCGGGCCAGGCCCCGCAGCCCGTCCTCGCGCACCGCCACGTTGAAGCCGCTGATAATGCCCTTGTATTTGACGGGGTCCACCTGCATGCGGCACTTGACCAGGTCTAGGGGCACGATGGCCGTGTGCGTCAGCCCGCAGCTCAGCATCCCGCCCAGGCCGCACAGCAGCAGGTACTCGGGGGAGCCAAACTTGACGCTGTACTCTTCGGGGGACACGGCCGCCCACGGCTGGCCCCGGCTGCCCCGGCCCGCGCCTCCTGCCTGCGGGGCCCGGCCACCGCGGGCGTCACATGTGGCCACCCGATCCAGGCACATACTTTCTTCAGGAGGCCTCCTTCTCGTCCAGCCGAGAGAGGCGTCGTGAGCGGCCCCCACGAGCCCGCCGGCCCAACCGTCCTGGCGAAGGAACACCTGCGCCTGCGCACTTCGGCTATCTGGGACCGTGTAGCCAATCCCAGGAGGGACAGAGAGAGTCAACCCGCGGAAGGTTCCTCTAGGACCGCCTCTTCCTCTTCCTACCAGGACCGCCCCTACCCTCTAGGACCGCCCCTTCTGCTAGGGACGACCTTTCCTGCGCGCTAGGACAGCCAGACCCTATGGTCAGCCCTCCCAGTTCGCGCCTAGAGCAATGGGTAGAACTTTTTATACCCAAGTGGCTTTTGTCCAGCTTGGTTGCCTCAGACTCCAAAAGGATGCTATTAAGCCAACAAATATAAACAGGAGTAGACATGGGAATGTGAGTGAATAGGTGAGGTGGTCAGGGGGTGTAGGGGCGCATGCATCTTTATCTTCCTGCATAGGACTTTCTGGAGGCCTCAACTGTGCCTCCATGGCAACAGAAATCTGGCAGACCCACCCACTCTGTGCTTTCTGATAGAGATGACATCTACCCCAACACCTATACTCCTCTAAATTGGGGAGGATGTGAATGCTGATTATTTTTCACCTCTTAGCTTTCATTGAACTCTGAATCCTTGCCGTGATTTTTGAACACAAAGTGAATGTGAAACCTCTCTGTCTCTTGTGGAGCTTGCACTGTTGTGAGTATGGAAAACGAGAACTAAGTGCCTCCAGCTGTAAGTCAATAACATGAAATCATTCATCATTCACACTGTAGAATTCAGGGTCTAGCAAAAAACAAAACAAAACAAAAGACATATTCCTGCTTACTTCTAAACAAAGGGGTTTAAAAAAATCAGTATTGCAATTTGAGTAAAGTTCTAGATGGGTCCAAGTAATTCTGCCTGGTGAGGTTTGGTAGACTTCCCAGAGGAGATGACAGTGTAGATGAATTCTGTAGTATAGAAGAAGGATGGAAAGGTAATTCCATGTGAAAGGAAGGGAAACATAAATGAGTAACTTACTAAGGAGAGGTAAACAATTCAGCATGGTGGGAACCAGCAGTTCAATCTGGAAAAATGAAATTGGGTCACATTAGAGAAGGCCTTAATGTCTTGCTTAGGACTTTAACTTTTCTCTTTTAGAGCAGGCAGAACTGTAATTAACAGACCACCTGCCTCAGCATCACCTAGAGTGTTAAAAAATCTCAGCTCACACTCTAGACCTCTGACCAAGGCTCTCTGAGGGTAGGGGTCTGTGATTTTAACTAGATCCTAGGTGGATTTATCACTAAACATCACCAAAGCTTGAAAAACCCATGGTATATGGATGAATGGGAGGTCAAGGATATTTTTTAAAGGTTTTCTGGTCTAGAATTCAGAACCAATATCCTGATCTGAGTGTGTATACAACTGTGAAGATTTAGTAAACTGTGCACTTGAGATGATTAAAGCACATTGCACACTTTATGTGAACCATAATTTTAAAAAACCACCTTGGCTGGCATTAAATACTAACTGAATACTATGGGATTCTGGCTGGAGAGAGCACAGAGGAGTCAGATACACGAACTGGGTTTCTCAATGTCTCCTGATCTCCTCTCTCCTCTCCTTTCCCCTCCCATAAGAAAATAGCATATTAAAGGGGAAAAAAGCTTGCTGATTAAGACTTGGCAGTTTATGTTCCTGGGAATACTGGCGGACTTGGAAAAGTTCATGGTGTATGAATTTCAGACACCACGGGCTACTTCAGACACCAAGGGCTAGTGCAAGGCCTCCCATGCTTCTGACTTACTGGCTATAAATCAGGGGTTCCCACAGTTCTTTCTTCACTGGGGACTAAGGCCAAATACTATTATAGAAGATGTTCCTGTCATATCACTGAGAAAATCACAAAGTTCTTAGGGACCATGCTAGGACCTAGAATAAAGGCCAAATATACACATCTTACTATACCACCACATCACAGCCACACACTGATAAAATGGAAGACATAAGTTCTGAGTTCTACTTGTTTTCCTAGCTGTGTGGCCTTAGATATTTTAGCCTTTTTCTGAGCTTTTTCTCCCTTCACCAAACCTGAAACTTGAGTTGATAGTAGCAATCTTTTAAGGCTGTTATAAAGTGCACAGAAGTGTGAGACAATATGCCTAAAGCACTGGGTTCAAGGTCCTGCATGCTAACTCACACTTCAAGCAGCCCTCCCATCACTCTCCTGGCACTTTCTAGTCCCTCTCCAACTTCACAACCTTGCTCCTTCCCCTCCACTAGAGTGGATAATTCAGTTAGGTACATTCCTACTGACTGATGATTCAGTTATGAAGAAATCATAACTGGCATAGATGTGAACTTCTTTGATCATGCCCCAGGATATGTCAAAGCATTAAAGAAGCAAGGCAGTGATTGCTGTCCTGTAGCTCAGCAGCCTGTGCACTGGGAGGGACAGGACAGCAGAGCAGCTTGCCTCCTCTGCCACGAGGACTTCTTCCACCTGATGCTTGTTCAGGTGCCTTCTGGCTAGTGACCCACTCTTCCTGGTTTCCTCTGAACATTCCCCGTTTTAGTGTCCCTGAAACCTCTTAGTCCTAGCAAATTAGGGTAGTTATTATCATTGTTCTATAAGTCTGAGCTATGCTCAGGGCCTCTAGCCTCCGGCAATGTGCTTCAGTATAAGGAGCACTTTATAATGGCTTGGAAGCCATCCATCCCCCAAGTCCAAATCCTGGACTAATTGCTATGTGTGGCAATGAAATTTGTAAAGACATATCTAACACTCTTGAACCTCAGTTTATTATCTACAAAAATATATCCCATTTTCCCTGAATTTGTAATGAACTTCATATCATTCAATTAAACAATGTCATAATGCTTGCAATACATATTACTTCTTTTCTTCCTGATCTCTGAGTCATTATCCATTGAAGAACCATACCTCTAAAATTTCTAGAGCCTGGAGTGGCAGGGAAGGGAGGCAGCCATTGGGCAGCAGGGGGCACTCCTGCCACTCCTCTACTTTTCCAGAACATACAGTTCCTCTCCCCCCATCCTCACACCAAAGTCATAAAGCTTCAGTAGTCAACTGATGAAAAATGGCCATACTTTAAACCCACACTTGATTTTTACTTATCTAAATGTCTCCCACATGCTTGCAATAATGTTAAGTGTGTATCTGGACCATTTTCCATCTTGAACATTTAATTTATAATCCTTCTCACTCTAAGGGGGTTATGAGGTGGGGAGGGGGTGTCAAGTGTTTATTCTTAGAATTATTCAACTCCAATCAACTAATTATTCTAATGAATTGTACACTTTTTTTTTTTGCTTTTTTTTCTTGACCAGATTGGAAACAATGATAGGCATTCAACTGAGATTTATTTGTAAAACTCTGACAGATTGTGAATTTTGGAGTTCCTTAAACTGTCTCCTAAAATAAATATTTCTGACTTATCTGGGGAGTTAAAGAGGAAAAAGCAACAATTCTTGAACTGATTAAGTTAAGCCATGTTTAAGGAAAATATTGTGGGAGGGCTGGGAAGGTGGCTCAGTGGTAGAGTGCTTGCCTTGCATGCATGAGGCCCTGGGTTCAATTCCTCAGCACCACATAAGCAGAAAAAGCCAGAAATGGTGCTATGACTCGAGTGCTAGAGCACTAGCCTTGAGCTAAAGAGCTGAGGGACAGCACCCAGGCCCAGAGGTCAGGCCCCATGACCGGCCAAAACAAATAAGAAAAGAAAAAAAAAAAAAAAAGAAAATATTGTGGGAGGTAATAACCTCTACATGTTCAGAAGAAAACTGTACATAACACATCTTTGTACTCTTTTCATTTAAGGAATTATTTGTACAAACTAGCATTCCTAGTGATAGTACTTATTTACCTGGGGTGGGTTCTAGGAAGAAAAAGGTTACTAATCAAATACTTTTAAAAGTTAACTTTCCAGCCAGAGCACAGTGGCTCATGACTGTAATTCTAGCTACTCAGGAGGCTCAGATCTGAAAATTGTGGTTCAAAGCCAGCCTGAGCAGGAAAGACCATGATACTTGTCTCACCAATTAAACACCAAAAATCTGGTAGTAGAGCTATGGCTCATGTGGTAAAGTTTAGCCTTGAGCAAAAAAGCACAGGAACAGGGCCCTAGTTCAAGCCCCAAGAACAGTGTACATGTGAGTGGGCACGTGCATATGAGCGCGCGTGCACACACACACACACAGACTTTTCAGAGTTGTAAACAATAGTATGTGTCCCAAGGGCTCCATTTCTCAAGTAATAGAAACACAACCAACCTGCACCCACTGTCTGGGCATTTATTTAGAAACCTGCTGGATCGCAGGCAAATTGGGCCACCCTGTGTCACGCTGTGATACTTCTTTTTTTTGTTGCAAGTTTGCATATTATTTTACTGGTAATTTGTACTCCACAAGATAAATATAAAAATATTATTATAGGGCTGGGAATGTGGCTTAGTAGTAGAGTGTTTGGCTCACATGCATGAAGCCCTGGGTCTGATTCCTCAGTACCACATAAACAGAAAAAGCCAGAAGTGGTGCTGTGGCTCGTGGTAGAGAACTAGCCTTGAGCACAAGAAGCTCAGGGACAGTGTTCAGGCCCAGAGTTCAAGGCCCAATTTTATATTATTATAAAAAATAACATCAGTATATTAGAGGTTTCAAATGCAAGCTAGAGATTCATTAGATTCTTCTAGTTGGCATATTCTAAATAGGTAAACACTTTCAGTTCTAAGACATGAGGCCATATTTTCCATTAGGAAGGCCCTATATGGCAAAGAGCAGAGCTTCACACTAGAGAAAGTGCTCCAATCTGACGATGGATGGCTGAGACAGTGGTGCCATCCTCAGGAAGATGCAGCATCCTGACTCTGAGCTATTGTTTAGAACCTGGTCTTTGCACGTGAGAGGAGGACCAAGCAGACAAATCTATGCAGGGTTGCCCAGTAGAAAGAAAATGCAAGTTTTAGATATAATTTCAAATTTTCTGGAGGCCACATTAAGACAGTTTTAAAAAGGCACATAATAATGTTACATAACTCAATATTTTTAAACATTATTTCACCATGAAATCTATGCAAAATTTTTAAGATATTTTGCTTTTTTTTTTTTTTTCATCTTGTAGCTTTGGAATCTGGTATGTTTTTATCCTGTCAGCACATCTGAATTTGCACTGGCCACACAGTGTTCACAAGCTACAAAGGGTGATAGCTACAGCATTCTACAGTTTGGGTTTAATCTGTGCTAGGAGAGCCCTAAAGCCACATAAAAGCTTGTGCAGATGAATGCATGCTGTGTGATGGGAGGGGACCTTGGGTGAGTAAGAGGTACTACTTCCTCCTCATTCCCTCCTCTGGTCCCTCCCTTCTGTGATTTCATGTAATACATGTTAACT